GGTCTTGTCACAAGGAATACACATGAAATATGAAAGCCATGCAAAGTCCCCAACACTCAAAAGTTATGAGGAAGGTTAAAGGTTTTGCAGAGAGACAGAAAGACATTTGGACAGGGCAAAAACTATATACAGTGGAGCCTCATTTATCCGAATGCTTTGGTTCCTAGTCAATTTGTCCGGATACATGAAGCTTCCGGATATCTGAATTACCAGTTAAGCAAGACAATATAACATTTAAAAATTCCATTCCGATGAAAAATCGTCCGGATACTGAAGCATCCGGATATCTGAAGGTCCACTGTACCCCTGAAACGGCATCATCGCAAACTACAGTCAAAATGTATGATCCTCTCCCATTCTGGTTGTGGTTGAATGAGAAGAGCATTTCTCTTAGTTCATTAAAATATTGACCAATGCGAGTAAAGTATAGCTGGATAATGAACTTTGATGTGACCTTTCAATACCCAATCGCAGTGTACGAAATATTTCTTGTATACTGCTGATGTAAATTGTTGATTTCAATTGTGATAGAAACAAAACTTGTCATTGACTGAATATGACATCACAACAGAGATTAATATTCAAGATTACAACACTTTCTGTGATCAAGCAGCCACAGGTAGGAGAGAGCTATATGCGGACTCAAGACCGTGGCTTGCGACTATGCTGAAACGAGTGCATAAAAAAAATCAAAGTATATTCTGAAAAGTCTTGTGACTTTGTGACAGTTTATTCTGTCGTGAAATATAATTTGTGAAGGAATATTCCACAGGTCCCTGGGGAAAGGGGTCCTGTTAACAAGAATTGGGTTTCTGTTACAGTGGGAAGGGATAAATTCATAGAATTGGATGGATTTGGAAACTTTCAAGCATGGCGTATATGTATCATATAATGAAACTAAATAAAACTGTGAGTTTAATAGAAGTCTGCATCATTTGAAATTTCATGGTGTTTCAGAGTTTACACAAAGCACCAAAATTTTTGGTATTTATGCAATCACTAAATTTGCAGTAGAACCATTATTCATTAAAATGAAAATGCATCCATGCACAAACATTTTCTCATTTTATAAATTAATTCATCATGTTCATTACACAAATGGTATGGTCATACATATAAATATAATCAATGCTCTGAAAAGCAGAGGAAATTCTGGTTGATAAAGTTGAATTACTTACGATTTTTTAGAGTAAATTTGTCAGAATTTTTGTCAGTTGATCAATTAAATTACCGAATTTGTGAAAGAAACTGAAGTTCAGCTAGGGCTCAGAAGATACTTGATTATGCAAGATAAAGCGAGACAATGTGCCCTTATTAAGAGATAATTAAGTGCTCTGCTTTTAAAAATTGAAAGACGTTAGAGTTTCAGTGACGAGAATTTTGTCCTGATTTTCTGATTATCCCAGAGCTTATTCAGTTTACTGTGTCGCAATTTTTAATAGAACATTTATAAACTTCTGTTGATCATATTTGCTATGAAAGAACTTTTTATATGCTTTGATTGAAGCAAAATTGAATTATTGTCGTCCTGTACAATAACGATTTCTTATATAATACTGTATATTCAGTTGTACAGAAATATTCAATCTAATTAAAAATAGATCTTTGATCCGCTCCAGTTTGATCGCTTTGTGTAGCGATCAAACTGGAGCGGATCAAAGATCTAAGTTTAATTAGATTGAGAAATATTTCTTCTGAAACATTTTAAAACTTTTTTATTGATCATAAGGGTTTAGATTACATACAGATTAATCATAATATCACATTTTACCAGTGATTGGGAAGACCAAAATGGTCAATGGGACTATGGCGCAACTGTCAACATTTTAATGGGCCATTTTGAAATGAATGGGCCATCAAAATAATCTGTAAGGCCATTTTAAGAATTTAAACCAAATGACAAACAAATATGAAAGACGAAATAAAACACGTTTTTAATTAGCCGAATCTAATAAATTCTAAACACTGCACTGTACCAAATTTAAAGGAACTCGTATATAGAATATAATTTATCTGTAATTTGTGTTAAATTACATCAAAATGTGGAAAGAGCACCACCCTACCAAACAAATGAAGTAATGTACCCAATGCAAGTGCTTCGTTTAACCGGAAGCAGTTTTTGTCATGGTTCAACCAATGAGATTTGTTGTTTTGAAATTGATCACATTTAAATGAAAGTAAGGCCTAAAAAAAAATTATGTTTGTTTCCTGTAACCCGACAGACCCATGAAAATTATCCCAGGGTGGATTTTTTTTTCCTGACAAATGGCAAAACTGTGTTTGATCAATCAGCTGATTCCATTTATTTAAAAAAAAAATAGCTTGTAGTTGAACCTAGTTTACATACACCTTAAATATAAAGAGTAATCATTATTGTAACATTTCCCCCCTACAACTTTCTGTGAAGTTCTTTTTCTGCCGCTAGGCAGCCATTTTGGATGCCATGTTGGGTGTCCACTGTAAATATGACACCTGGTATATATTCAGTCCGGGGATGTTTGACCATTCATAAGTGACCATTACCGACCCTTAATTTTTGGGAATGTTACAGGAAACAAACTTTTTTTTTTTAAGCCTAAAACAAGTACGAAAGTTGTAAATATTTCCAAATAACATCGCTAAAAATTGAATGCGCACATTCGTGCCACCATTGATTGATTTTATGCGCCATTTTTCAATTCAATGGGACTATGGCGCATGGCGCAAGCCCTTCCCAAATCCCAATCACTGTTTTACCAGCAAAATAAAATTCTCAAAAATGCAGCTCATATAGCTTTAACTCACAATTTGAATATTCCAACTCGCATTTTGCAAGTTATATATAGTGAATTTCGAACTCTGTGAGAAGTCATTAGCGCAAAATGACAATGTGTCTTCACATTGTGAATACACTATAGCATTGTCATTTTGCGCTAGTGTGTTGTCGCAATGTGCTGGGCCGCTGGCACATTGTCACATCCCTCCAATAGATGCCCTTTAACATTACTGCAAATGCAAAGTGACACTGCACCGTCACGTAGTGTGAACAACGATCTAGCACACCACATGAAGTTAGCATGTTATTAGTATGGCACTGCTAAACTTTTTTGAATGGCAGACACCACATCACAGTCATCCTTAGATTCTTGCTTTTTACAGACAAGAAGATCCTTGACATGACACTCTATCCTGTACTTTCTCAAAATAAGGCCAAAGTTTTTATTTTTTTTGGTTTACGATTTTTTGACACAAAAATATGCATTGGGCGGTCGAAAAATAAAAATAAAAATAATTTGGAACCTTGACATATTTTTTTCTTGAGTAGCATTGAAATGTATTCAAATAAAAATAATAAACACATAAGATTTTTCAACTTTTAAAATTATTTTTCTTACCATTCGGTTTTATGTCAAGAAAAATGAATCACACGTGAAATGACTCAAGAATAGATATGTATCAGGCTCTGTTACTGTTGATGGTTTTAATTCTTCCGGGTTACAAGTCTGAGTTTCCATAATAGACACATTGCACTGGGACAAATATGGGTAAAATTAAACAAATTGGCTATCATCTGGTCAGCCTTTCCACTTACGAAAAAAATTTTGGAAACTCTGAAAGTGATGGATTGCTTTCACAACAAACCTTTACCTTAAGATACGTGTGTCCAGGGACCAACCTAGACCCATGAAGGAAACATCCCTTCTCCCTCAAAGAAATTTTAAGGAGAAGTTTTGAAATTTAGGGAGACTTCTTGGCGCCTATTCGTGGCACACTTTAATTGTTATAAAACTATTTCATTGTTTAAAACTTACATACATGTACATTTCAATAATTTTTCTGTATAAACATTGTATTTAAAATGATTAAAAAAGAGAAAAAGAATCTTAAAAGATATTTCCCCCAATTACAAGGTATATAAATATCTAGAAAAAATAATAAAACAGCATTGACATTAAATAAAATTTACTACTACTACTATTAAACTGTAAAAGTTTCTTATTGTCAGATTAATGTTGTCTATCAAAACATTTTTTTTCATTTCTTATATACACTGTAGTAGTAAAATTTCTCTTCTCATTAGATTTCCAGGCTTTTGGCATAGTCATAATTTTGTTAATTTCTCTTCAACCTTGTTTTCAATATAAAATTCTTTTTCTAATAAAAGTTTTGATGCAAACCTGCATGCCGATTGAACAGCTACTTATGTTTATCGAATCTGTCTTCTGATGTGTAACCTCTTAGAAAGCTAATAACTTCACAATTTATCAGTAAAAATATGTCTGTATTCACAGCATAAATTAATTATTTGACAATAATAAAGATCTAAAATCTTCTCCAACATCTTTGGCATGACATGGATAGCTGTCCAGCTGTTTTGCATCTTGTTGTGTATAACTTGTAACGATGGACTTTTTCATACCCGGAAGTGTAAAATCTAGAGGAGTTCCGACGGAGTATTCAACCGATGCATTAGCTGGTCATTGGCAATGTGGTTTGATAATCTGTATTTGTGGAGTTCATTGAATTTTAGTGAGAGTTTGGGTTAATGATTAAGATGTGTTGTAAATTTTGGTTTGGTCGAAAAAAATTTGAGTCTGACACATTATTTTTATTTTCGTAAATAGGGAAAAATAGGGTCGGCGGAATCGTAAACCAAGAGAAAAAAAAACTTTGGCCTAAACAATTGTAACCTATCTTAGAGTACATGTGACATTTCTGTCCATAATGATATTAATAAATTGATTTTTGTCTTGACAATACTATTTTTTGCTGAAACCACTATGAAAAATATAAGGCCACCAATTAGTTTACCTATAAATATTCAGAGCATACAAGTCATTCCAGTGTTAGATACAATTCTAATATTATATCCAACTCGATGCAATATAAACCCTTAAATTTTTGTTGATATAGCATGTGGGTTGGCCCCAAAATCATTGGCCATTTATATATATGTGGCCTCTCAACCAATTATGTGACCCATTCAATAGCCCAGATTTATATTCTATCATAAGACTTACCTTTCTGTGTCTTCTTTGGTTGGACTAGAGATGTTCCCCACGGCTTCTGCAACAGCAGACTCAGTCAAGATGGGGGTCAGGGAGGAGTTTCCTGGCTCCTCCTGCTCCACCAGGCCTTTGGGGTCTTGCGGGGGCTTGTCTGATATGTTTTCATTTACAACTTGATCTGCATTGGTTTGACTAGCTGACAAAGTAAGCATTAAACTATTGGGTATATTCAAATTTTCTTTTGCACTTTTGTCATGATATTCCCCTGGGGAAGTAATGTTACTTGTCTGGGCTACATTTGGAACACTGTAGCTCTCGGGATTCAGAGCAGGTGTCTGTATGTTCGTTGGAGGTTGTCGCACTGGATCAACTGTCTTTGGAAGTGACTGAGTATATTCTACATCACTGTTACTTGACGAGACACTAATGCTATTAGGAAGTGAGCTTATCACAGGTGCATTTGAAATATGCAGTTGTTGTGAGCCGACACCTAGTGGTCCATTTGGCATGGCCTGTACCGACACTGTCTGTAACTGACCTTGACTTTGACAGCCAATGACACTTTGACTGACACTGACAGCGGGTTGACCCGGGGTAAAAGTGGGGGCCCCAGAATTCATGGCATTGATATAAGACTGAATCGTTGCCTGGTCGCCCATTGGTGGCGGAACACGATACAAAAGTTTGGGCATCTGATTCATATTTGGAGTGGAGGGAGGAGGGGGCATTCCATAGGAAGCGGCAAGGTTTATTGAAGATTGTGGCATTTGTGTTCCGTCACTCCATACTAACTGACCAGTCTGCGTCATGTGAACGTTTACAGGGTTTTGGTTCATAACAAGCGCAGAGGCTTGATTCAATTCATTTAATTGATCATTCACTTGATTTAATGTATTCCCAATAAGTAGAGGGTTTTTGGAAGGTTCATCTTGACCATAATCGTAATGTACAGAACTACACGCACTGGAATTGCCGGAATTGACTTTGTCTTTCTCTTTAGTACTAACTTTTGTGTCACTGGCATCTGCCATTGCCGGCGTGTCTAAAGAATCTCTGCAAGTCCATCGGCCTCTTCGGAATGGTTCCTTTGTTTCTACTTTGACCACTTTAAACCTGGTGACAGTGTGTTGGTCACCCTTATCTTTGACCTCCCTACCTGTCTCAGATTCAGCATCTGTTGTGAAAGTGTTCTCCTCCAGGGGGCTCTGGTCCCCCACATCTTCATACTTTGACCCATCCAGAATCTCAGAACTCGCGTCCTCCGTGTGACTTTCCACCGTCTCATCCAGATCTTCTAATGAATCACCATCCAGTTCCCCAATCTGAGCCTCACTGCTGCCACCTCGGTTCTTCGTGATACTTGTGATCTTGAAAGTCTTCTTTTTGTGTACTCCTTCCGATCCGTGTTTATTTGTCCCTACCACTACTTTAGAATCGTTCTCATCTCGACTATTTTCCTCGTTAACAGGAGAATTCGTATGGTTATCCACTGTCACGGCCATTTTATCAGAATTCGATGCCATTTTTTTAAACTTCAAACCCGTGCGAAAAACACTTCTCTCTCATTAAATAGAGGGTCCCATGAGAGACACAGTCTCTGATATAATTTTCCCATTGTTGAAGTTTACAATTAATGTATTTACATGTTACACAAGGAATTCCTCGATTATTTTTACATAAAACAAGTTGTATTGTATGTCTACACCTCACCTTCTTCGACGACGGCGGACATGAGCAGCTACGAATGATGGGAAGTGACGTCACGCAAGACAACTTAACCCAGAAATATTTATTCTTGACCTCATTTGACACCAAATTCAATATGTATACAGTCGTATTAAATGAAATAAACTTTTTATAGCTTCAATTGTTTCAAAAATATTTATTTATTCTTTTTCAGTTTCTTCTTATCACCGGGGGGGGGGGGGGGGTGTCAGAAAAGACAGGGGTCCAAACGCTTCATGAAAGTACAAACACTCCTAGTTTTTTTTAAACATTCAACCACCTAAGGCACCTTTTTAAATTTATAAAAAGCTGTTTTTCTTCGAACTGGACGGAAAATTTATTGTATGGGACACATTTAAAATTCTTTTCTTTTTTGTCAAATTTTTATCATGAATATGTTCGAGGGTTTCTATATACAAGCTAAAAGAACTTAAATTTAAAAAAAAAAAAGGGGGGGCTAGGGCTAAATTTCCAATGACTGTGTTACATATTTTAAATATAAGGAAGTTCAAACTGTTATAATATCAAAAATTTCACATCGATAAATAATTTTTTATAAAATACACGATTTGATGTTATTTTGTTGGCATGACCTTATTTAACAGGGATAAGTTCATTTGCGAATTATAATCACTGTTAATCTCATCAACTATATATATATTTTTTATACATAATTATTAGGCCAAAATCAGTAGAGTCCGACTCAAAACTTTTTTTTTAGTTCCAGAACACCATATTATTTCCTTTTTATTCCTTTGATCTTAGCAACAAATATTTAATTTTTTTTTTTTTAAACTAAAGGTTTTCCAACCTATCAACCGACACGACAATTTTCCTATGAGTCTGGAGAGGACAGGCAAACATTTTTTTTTAAAGATAACCTTGTTGTTAATTAAATGTGATACAAATTTCCTTTGATTTTGGTTTGTTTCATGCTTTTTTTTTTTTTGGCATCGAAGGTTTTTTTTTTTGGGGGGGGGGGGGGGGGGGTGTAGCGATATGGTATAAATTGTATTTTTTGACCAAAATGGTCAATTTGAAGGCAAGCACCAAAAAAAATAAAACGGTCAAAGTCTAAAATTTTGAAATCATGATGCTAAAATATAAAACCATAACGCTATAGTTCTTGTTTTTCCAGAGGTAGGTCTACCCCCATGGCATGCAGTGAAAAAAAAATCCTACATGTTTTTCCCTAATTGAAAATTTATATTTGGGCTGGAAAGGGGGGGGGGGTAGTCATTGCCTTCTAAAGCATCATATCTGTGACTTTGCAAGTCAACTTAATAGTGTGTGTGTGGGGGGGGGGGGGGTTCAGCGTTTTCTGGTGGTGGTGGTGGTGGTGCTGGTGGGGGGGGGGTTGCTTTAGTTGGTTTATATAGTGTATACATTTAATAACTCTGCAAATTCCAGTGGGACGGGGGCCAGGCACCCCCTCTAGATCCCCGTATGGTTATTTGTTATTCGTTTTCTCCCTTTTATGTAGGATCATAAATGCACCTGTTTCCCTCTAGCTGGACTGTGTGTGAACTGTCGGGTACTTTCTTTGATTCAGGGAGGTAAAGGGTGGTGGTTGCTTCTCATCCATTTTCTCTGCAAACATTACTATTTAATTCAATAATGAACAAGTTCAATGAAACCGCTACCCCATTTTTATGCAATTAACTAAAATCAGGACAGGCTATAAAAAGTATTTATGAAAGAGCCCACTCTCTCTCTCTCTCTCTCTCTCTCTCTCTCTCTCTCTCTCTCTCTCTCTCTCTCTCTCCAGGAAAGTTGGATCTGCGGATTTTCGACTTTTGAATTTTCTTAGGGGATGAGCCTTGTCAAAGTTTTTTTCAGGTATTATTTGACTTTTTACTCTGGCTCCCTCGCTCTCAAAACGATGCTATATACGTGTCTGACAGACTCTGACTGTAGTGTCTTCTTTTTTCAGTCAACCGAAGAAGGGGAGGGGTTGTTGGCCGGTTGAGGAAGCAAAACGTGTTTGTGAACCATTGATTCCCCCCTATGACACCTAATGTCAAATTTTTAAGTTTCTCAAATGCAAGTCAAACAAGATCAAAAACAGTCTAACGAAAAAAAAAATGACTTGTTTCATTCAATATACCTATATGGAAGCACGGGTACCAAGCGTTCAAAGGTTATGGCCACCCTGCGCACAAGGTTAAAAATTTGTTATCCAAAGGAAGGTCTTGTCACAAGGAATACACATGTCATCTGTGATATATGAAATTAAAGCCATAGCTTCAACCATGCAATCAAAAGTTTTTCGCAAGGTTAAAATTTTGTTAAAAATGGGTTAAACTTTAAGGTCAAGGTCAAAGGAAAAAAAAAAGTTTGTGAAACACTGGATGTCCACATATGGCAACATAGCAAAGATTACACTTTTCTTAAATGCAATACATATGTTGGTATACCCATGTTAAGTAAGGTCTTCTCACAAGAAATACAATTGTGAAATAAAAGAGCCCTGGTACCACCTGTTCAAATGTTATGGCCAAGGTTAAGATTGTGAATGGTAGTTCAAATCCAGGGTCAAGGTCAAAGGGTCAAACTTGTTCATTTCTAAAGCAAGGTCTCGTCAACATGGATTAAATATGTGAAGTATGAAAGCCCTATCCTTTCAAAAGTTATGGTCAAGTATTTTAAAGTGGGTATAACTCCAAGGTCAAGGTCAAAGGGTCAAAGATGTTGGTATTTAATGAAAGGTCTTGTCACAAAAATACATATGTGTCACATTGATATATGAAAGTCCTAGTATCTACCATTCTTTATCAAATTGAAAGTAGAGTGGCTAATTGATAGTGGGGGTGACCATGGGGGCTAAACCAACCCCAAAAAATAATAATAATCAGGCGCGGATCCAGGATTTGAAGTTGGGGGGGGGGGGCGCCAATAGTAGGCAAGGGGTCTGGGGGCCGCCTTCAATCCAGGGCAAAGTTATGGGGCAAGGATTCTAGAGATTTTGTAGGGTAAAAATGAGGTCTACCGAGTATAAATATTAACATTTTATAGACGATACTGTGATTTACGTTAACTTTGACAAAGGGGGGGCGCGCCGGGACAATCCGCCACTGATAATCAAAAGTTATGAGCAAGGCTAAAGTTTTTGCGGAAAAACAAAAACAGGTAAATACAGACGGACACGACAAAAACTAAATACCCCCCAAATCTTCGATTTGCGTGTACGGGGGCATAAAATAAAAAAAAAAACACACACACACACACACAAACTCAAATACTATTAATCCAATAGCCACTTTTATATGCAGTGTATCGATGGGTAAGGATTTTCGACAATAGTCTGTAGTTTACCTTTGACCTAATTACCGAATTCCAGTGTGAAGGTCAAAGGATATCTGAAATCCTCTAGATTTTATAGTACGGGTAGAGACAGTTAATATGGCGGACAGAAACGACCCAAACTACTTTCGGTTTGCACATATTGGTTGGGTTATTCTAATATCTGCTGGTCTTACAGTATTAACAGTAAGTAAATCTCATTACAAACTGTTGTGGGGACATTTTTTAAACCCCATTGATAACATTAGGTACCGAGTTACTTTGCCATAAAGTTTTTGATGGGGGCGTTCCTCTCATTGTCACACTAAAAACAAATGCATAATTTTTAGCACGTAGACACTTTATGCACATTTAAACCTAATAGGTGTGCTTAAAAACTAAACAATTGCCATGATTTAAACTGTTATGAAACTTGCATAATTCATTTTTATCCCGCAACTACCTAGCTGCAGAACTGTAGCTCTCCGAAAAAATATATTGACGGACCGGTCTGTCAATATGTTTTTTCGGAGAGCTACAGTTCTGCAGCTACCCCATGATTAATGCATTCAGATGTAAGCCATATTTGTGCTTGGGTTGTAAATGTACGATGGCCGATATCAGCCTGTACATATTCTGACTGCTATTGAAATTTGTACATCTAAAATGTACATTGACATGTACATTTTGCAATGACAGTGCACACTTTGTGCTCTTAACTTTTGTCTGTACATGTACAAAATGACAAAAAGGCAAATGTCAAAACGTGAACGTTTGAAACAAATATGCTTCTAATTACAATTCCTGGTCGGCGAAAAACCATTAAATATGATTAAAATTGGACAAGGCACTGAGAAGATGAGTTTTGCAATAAAAAGGATGAAAAATGTTAAAGAAAAATGTAAAAATTCCTGTGGACATTAGATCTAAAGTTAAAGTTTGTCTTCTCTTACTGAAAAGAGTGAATTTTCCATAGATTAAAATCACCTTCCACAAATATTTTTGCACCATAAATTGCCCACATCCAACCCAGATTACTATTATGATTTATGACTATATCTAGTTTACACTCCTTTTTGATCAAAAGTAAAGGAAAGTTGCATAGGCCATTATATGAGTAAGAGACTAACCATGATAATATAACGTAAGATTAAATTGTGACCTCAACTGTAACCTTTGACTATCATTGAAAAACTGTAACATTGCGTTTCATAAAGTGTTCAGTAATTAACCATAACACAATACTTTTTTAAAAAAAAAACAAAAGGTCCTCAGTGTGTTCACCTTTACTACCCTTAAAATATCTTACAAGTGTATACCACGCCTACGTCCCACCCCAGAATTGTGTTATCATTGGTGGCATAGTTGTTTTGTTTTGATAATAATTGTTCAACTCTTCCTCGTTGTACAGTTTTATTCATATGTAATGGTTTTTCGCTGACCAGGAATTGTAATTAAGAGCATATGCCTTTCAATCGTTCACGTTTTGACATTTGTCTTTTTGTACATGTACAGACAAAAGTTAAGAGCACAAAGTGTGCACTGTCATTGCAAAACGTACATGTCAATGTACATTTTAGATGTACAAATTTAAATAGCAGTCGGAATACGTACAGGCTGATATCGGCCATCGTATAAATGTGATGGAGGGCTTGGCAAGCCTGCTTTCTACCACATTTCCCTCGCCCCGACATCAATGGCTTATACATGTTTTATCTCAAGACAATAACTATGCATTTTATATTAATGGAAAATATTTTGATCACTTACTAGCTACACTGGGTTCATACAAGTTAATAAACTATCTATTCTGTACATTTTTAGCTCTACTGGTCAGAGACCAGAAGAGCTTATGCAATAGTAATGCGTCGTCCGTCTGTCTGTCTGTCTGTCTGTAAACAATTTTTCAAAATGCTACTCCTCCTACAGTTTTAGTCTGATTTCACTATTACTTGGCACACAAGTAGACTACACTAAGATACATAGAATAGTGCATCGGTTTTTGATTTTGATGAACGGTGTTGCCATGGTTACTAAAAATAGAATTTTCTATGAAAATCCTTAAAAACGCTACTCCTTCTACAGTTTTGGTCTGATTTCAATATAACTTGGCACACAAATAGACTACACTAAGATACATAGAATAGTGCATCGGTTTTTGATTTCAGTGATCAATGTTGCCATGGTTACTAAAAATAGAATTTTCTGTGAAATTCCTTTAAAACGCTACTCCTTCTACAGTTTTGGTCTGATTTCAATATAACTTGGCACACAAGTAGACTACACTAAGATACATAGAATAGTGCATCGGTTTTTGATTTTGATGAACGGTGTTGCCATGGTTACTAAAAATAGAATTTTCTATGAAAATCCTTAAAAACGCTACTCCTTCTACAGTTTTGGTCTGATTTCAATATAACATGGCACACAAGTAGACTACACTAAGATACATAGAATAATGCATCGGTTTTTAATTTCGATGAACTGTGTTGCCATGGTTACTAAAAATTGTATTTTCTGTGAAATTCCTTTAAAACGCTACTCCTTCTACAGTTTTGGTCTGATTTCAAAATAACTTGGCACACAAGTAGACTACACTAAGGATACATAGAATAGTGCATAGGTCTTTGATTTCAGTGAACGGTGTTGCCATGGTTACTAAAAACAGAATTATCTGTGAAAATCCTTTAAAACACTACTCCTTCTTCAGTTTTGGTCTGATATCAATATAACATGGCACACAAGTAGACTACACTAAGATACATAGAATAATGCATCGGTTTTTAATTTCGATGAACTGTGTTGCCATGGTTACTAAAAATTGTATTTTCTGTGAAATTCCTTTAAAACACTACTCCTTCTACAGTTTTGGTCTGATTTCAATATAACTTGGCACACAAGTAGACTACACTAGGATACATAGAATAGTGCATCGGTTTTTGATTTCGATGAACGGTGTTGCCATGGTTACTAAACATAGAATTTTCTGTGAAATTCCTTTAAAACGCTACTCCTTCTACAGTTTTAGTTTGATTTCAAAATAAGTTGGCACACAAGTAGACTACACAAAGATACATAAAATAGTGCAATGGTTTTGATAAGTACAAACCAGTAGAGCTACAGTCTCGACAGAGACTTCTGGTTGCAAAATCCTCTCTCCCATCATCATTATGTAGCCCAGGGGCCCGTTTCATCAAAGGTCGTACGCCCAGTCGTAGCGCTACGCCGGCGTAAAGTCGGGACTAGCACAAAGATTTGCATTTCATTAAAGAGCGTATCGTTATGCCTGACTAAATTTACAAAATTTTACGTCTACTCATGGGTAGGCGTAAGTTCGGGTGTAAAGTTAAAATTAAGCCTTTTTATTAATTTTAAACAATTTAGCGAGTTTTAAAGAAAAAGTAGGGTTCTAAGAAGAATTTAAAATACAAACAATGTATTATTTAATTATACATATTATGAAGAGGGGGGTGGGGGTGGGGGTGGGGGTGGGGTGGGGGGTGTTGTTACAACTACTTGGGGACATAGTTGATTTGAGTAATAACGTACTTAATATTGTAATAAATTTCTACCGAGAAGAAATTTAAAGCTTGTCTTATTAGAGATTTCTTCGATTATCATTTCTTACGTTTTGAAAATACATTCATACACATTTGATTGTGGTATTGTATTTATAAGGTATTGTAAATCAATATACATATATAACTATATTTCTACACCCCGCTTGAAAAGCGGGAGGTTACATTTATATACTCTATAGTAATCGGGATGTTCGTCCGTCCGTCTGTTACGCTTTGGGGGTACCCATCTCTATCCGAAACTCCTCTCATACCACTTAATGAAATTTGATGAATCTCTTTCACAGAATCTTTATTACATATTGCCATTGTGCACCTCCTATTTTTAGCTCTACTGGTCAGAGACCAGAAGAGCTTATGCGATAGTAAGGTGTCCGTCGTCCGTCCATCTGTCTGTCTGTCTGTCTGTCCGTCTGTCTGTAAACAATTTTTCAAAACGCTACCCCTCCTACAGTTTTGGTCTGATTTTAATATTACTTGGCACACAAGTAGACTACACTAAGATACATAAAATAGTGCATCGGTTTTTGATTTCAATGAACGGTGTTGCCATGGTTACTAAAAATAGAATTTTCTGTGAAATTCCTTTAAAAGGCTACTCCTCCTACAGTTTTGGTCTGATTTCAATATAACTTGGCACAGAAGTAGACTACACTAAGATACGTAAAATAGTGCATCGTATTTTAATTTTGATGAACGGTGTTGCCATGGTTACTAAAAATAGAATTTTCTGTGAAATTCCTTTAAAACCCTACTCCTCCTACAGTTTTGATCTGATTTCAATATTACTTGGCACAGAAATAGACTACACTATGATACATAAAATAGTGCATCAATTTTTGATTTCGATGAACAGTGTTGCCATGGTTACTAAAAATAGAATTTTCTGTGAAATTCCTTTAAAATGCTACTCCTTCTACAGTTTTGGTCTGATTTCAATATAACTTGGCACACAAGTAGACTACACTAAGATACATAGAATTAGTGCATCGGTTTTTGATTTCGATGAATGGTGTTGCCATGGTTACTAAAGATAGAATTTTCTGTGAAATTCCTTTAAAACGCTATTCCTTCTACAGTTTTGGTCAGATTACAATATCACTTGGCACACAAATAGACTACACTAAGATGCATAAAATTTTGCATGGGATTTTGATTTCAATGAATGGTGTTGCCATGGTTACTAAAAATAGAATTTTCTGTGAAATTCCTTTAAAACGCTACTTCTTCTACAATTTTGCTCTGATTTCAATATAACTTGGCACACAAGTAGACTACACTAATATACATAAAATAGTGCATCGGTGTTTGATTTCGACGAATAGTGTTGCCATTGTTACTAAAAATAGAAATGTCTGTGAAATTCCTTTTAAACGCTACTCCTTCTACAGTTTTGGTATGAACTCAAAATAGGCAAGTTTTCTCCTTAATATATAATACATTTGGCAAGCAAAAACAGTAACCAAACCTTGTTAAACTTTAAAGTTTGTCAACTTCATTGTTCCAGTGTCTGTGGAGTGTGGAAGGGGTGGGGCATGCTCATGGAATTATTTTCAAAACATCTGTCCTGTAAAAATTTTAAGTCATTAAAGATTAAGAAGAAAATATATGTTATCTTACGGATAGCTGTTTACCGGTGTGGTATAGTGAGACTTCCCCCATAGTGAGGCTTCCCCCGGAAGGCTGGCTATATAGTGGGCGTTCTCCCCGGAAGAATGGCTATATAGTGGGACTTCCCCCACAGAAATTTCACTATATAGCCGTTCTTCCGGGGAGAAGGCTCACTTTATAGCCAGCCTTCCCCCATTCATAGCGAGACTTCCCCCTCTTATTATAGTTTCCGGAACTTTGTTTTATTATTTTAAAAAATTCTAACAGTGTTATTTTATGACGAAATTATCTTCCATATATATACATGTATTTATATATTTATTTTATATGCATGAACAGTTTGAATATCGTTAACAAATGAATTTTTTGGTTATTTTTTTAATTCATATTCAAATATCTTATCTCAATCAAGTAATGACTGATGCATACATGCACGCTCTGTGTTTCAACGTATAAAGTGTAAAAATGAAATTGCGACAAAACAGATCTACACACTAAAATTGACAATTAGCCATCTCCGACTTTAGTGCAAAATAGTTTAGTCAAATAAGTGACAATTGCATTGCGGTATAATTTTTTTTTAATTTTACGTTTTTTTATACGTGTATTCAAACATCCAATCATCCAAACCCAGTTAAATAAAATATCTTTAAATAAATAATTTTGAAAACACGACCAAAATGAAAAAAAATAATTGTATGAATTGATGTATGGGTGTGATGAGCAGGGGATGCACACATTTTCATGCAATTTTTCCAGTCATAAATTAAAAAAAAAAAGGGGGGGGGGGTTAAGCCCAATCCATGCATCCTGTGCCTTTGCTAAAATATGCATGACAGTCAGAATTTGATTTAAAATGTATTAGAACTCAAATCCATCTTATTTGATTTTATAGTGATGTAAAGCTATGATTTTCATATTTCATATGTGTATTTCTTGTGATAAGACCTTTTTTTTGGGTACCTCCAAATTTGACCTTTTGACCTTGACCTTGGAGTTTGACCAACTTTTACTAAAAAATTCCAAACTTTTACTTTGGCCATAGCTTTTGAATGGTAGGTACTAGGACTTTCATATTTCACATCTTTATTCTTTGGGACAAGACCTTTCACTGGATACCAACAACTTTGACCTTTTGACCTTGACCTTTGAAATTTACGTACTTATGAAAAAACTATAACCCTGACCATAATTTTTGAACGGTAAGGGCTATGGCTTTTATACTTCACATATGTTATTCCTGTAAGAAGACCTTTCATTGGATAACAAGAATGTTGACCTTTTGACCTTGACCTTGGAGTATTAACTACTTTTTAAAAATTATAACCTTGATCACAACTTTTGAATGGTTGACACAAGGACTTTTATATTTCACATATGTATTCTTTGTGGCAAGACCTTTCATTGGACACCAACAACTTTGACCTTTTGACCTTGACCTTGGAGATTTACGTACTTCTGACAAAACTTTAACCTTGACCATAACTTTTAAACAGTAAGGGCTAGGGCTTTCGTACTTCACGTATGTAATTCTTGTGAGAAGACGTTTCATTGCATACCAAGAACTTTGACCCTTTGACCTTGACCTTGGATTTTAACTACTTTTTAAAAACTTTAACCTTGGTCACAATTTCTGAACGGTAGAAACTAGGACTTTCATATTTTAAATATATGTATTCTTTGTGGCAAGACCTTTCATGGGATACCAATAACTTTGACCTTTTGACCTTGACCCTAAAAAATAATGTCTCGCCCACAAAGACACCGAAAGCGGGGGACCACAATTCTTTGAATTTGCTTGTTCATTTCCGAGATCAAAGAGTCAAGAAGTATCCCGAACGCAAATATTGTCATTTACAAAAAACAATTGCTGATTGGTTGACCGGGTGTACCGAATCTCAATCAGAACTCGAGAAAAAAACCCAACTTCTATCAATACCATATGCCAAGGGATTATGAGGAGAGTAGCGTATCAGAACCCTTGGCTAGCGAAGATGCTTAGGTATATACAGTGTATTTAAACTTCACAGAAAAAGTTTATTGCCATATATAATTATTGTTTAATTTCAGTGGGCTTATTATGACCCGGAAGGAATTCCATGGATATTTGGACCACTGGGACAGTTAGGCACATACCTGGGGAAAAACTACCCGACTGTTATCAAGAATATGTAAGTTTTTCTGAAATCATAATATTGTTTTGTTGCTAAAGCTTATGAGAGAGAGAGGGTGGGTAAAGAGGTACATCTCATGTATAATTATGTAAAAGGAAATGAAACTTTGAAGGCCTTATAAGATTGTATGTACAAGACTATAGTGTACTAATATCTTTTACATTTGTATGATCTTTCAGAATATTGAATTGTTTTCTTCAGGTTCTATGTGACATTTGCTATACATGTCGGGGAGGCAGGGTATTCTGTAAAAGTCTGCAGGTATGTGGTACCATAAGAAAGAATGTTTTATGCAGTTACATATTTTTATACCCAAGCTTGAAAATTGGGAGGGTACATAGGGGTGGGGGTGTCCATCTGTCTGGCCGTTTGTCTAGCTGTATTTCCGTCTGTTACACTTTGGGGTACCCATCTCATATCCGCAACTCATCTCCTCTTATACCACTACATGAAATCTAATGAGACTTTCACAGAATCGTTGTTACAAAGTGCCATAGTGCATCTTTTCTTTTACTTTTTGATATGCACATATTTTGGGTTTCCCATAATAAAACATGGACACTGCTATTCTTTCTATAATATTGAGGTGTACCCATCTCTTATCTGCAAATCCTCCTACCGGTATATCGCATTAAAATTTAATGATACTTTCAAAGATTTTTTATTAGACAGTGCCATTGTGCACTTCCGATTTGACTTTTTGATTGGACACATATCAAACTTGAACTTTGCCATTAGGTATATATTAATATAATCATATGGGGGGGAGGGGGTATCATTTTGTTAGCACAGTGCTCATATTCCTTCTACTGTATAATTAGAAACCTGACCTGTCTAGTCCAACTCAAAATTTATCTTGCCTATCAGATATAGACAGGTTTTACTGTATCTATATATGCGTTTCTTTTCAAATAACATTATCAAGTTGGAATACCAATTCAATATACATGTTATTGTACCATATTTTGTTCACAGTCTTTGTTGAAAAATTAATACATTTTTTAATGCATTCCTATTATAATACACACAGTTTACACTATACACATTTTCTTTTCAGAGATAAAAACCTCAGTTCTTCTGCAACTGTAAAATGGTGCTTCCAGACATTTCTATTTGGATTTGCTTCCCTTCTGCGGCTTAAAAATGCCAGAAAGGTCAAGGCCAGCTGATGAAGGTCAAATAAATTGATCACTTAAAATCACCTCAGATCAAACGTTCAGGCTACAAATCATGACATGAAAATGTAGCCTTGTAGGATTACTAGAAACTGGTGTGATTTATTGACTGTGATCTTTTATATTTATACCATACCTCTTATGATGAATCAGGATTACTTTGTAAATGTGTTTAAATCTGCAGCACACTTTTTTATGATATGTTTTATTGCAATGGTGCATAAAAGAATATGAAAAATGATTGAAAGAAAGAGCAATAAAAATAATCTTTAATTATTTGGGAGAAATATGCATGTCTAAACATGTATGTGGTTTATATCTGTTGCTTTCCTTTATAGATTCTTATCTGGCATTAGGATGAAGATGGACTCATTTATATGAGTCTTAATTGTCTACTTGTAAATGTAACTCAATAGAACTATTGTTAATTTACAACACATTTAAAGTATTTGGAAGAATTTGATTTTAGTTGATTAAATATATATACAGGGTCGGAACTGATGTTTACAGATGAGAATTTATTGCATTCATTGATAAATTACAAGTTATTTTTATGAAAATAAATTGATAAATACTCTCAAAATGCATTATCTCTGATTCAAAGGGACTGAAAATAAAAACCAAAGAAAATATCCAATATTGAGGATTTGAGATACCAAGGTGGTTAAATACATAAATGGAATGTGGCCAGGACTTCCAGCTCACTTTGATATATCTCTGATATTTGAATACATGTACACTGTGTACTACTACCAATGATTGTGACACTTGAAGTTTGTGTTTTCTGGGCAACAAGCTCTAGTATTCTGCATGAGGTGACTTGTAGTTAACTTTTTTATGAAACAATTAAGATAAAGTCATAGCTGGACAAGGCACATTTAACAAGACAAGTGTAACAAATAATGCACATGTAACAAGGTACATGTACATATTGATATAGCTCATGTGGTATCATTTACGTATCCCATAGTTGTGACATCACAATGGGTTTTGCGTTAGAGTGATGAAGTAAAATGACGTAGAGTCCTATATAAAAACAGTGTTAAACATTGATTGTGGCGTATGAAACATGGGATAAAAAGAATCTCACATAATTTGCAGTTAGATATTATTTTTATCCAACTCGTGTGTTTTAATTCCCTCACCAAGGCTCGAGATATAAAACACACAACTCGTGGGATAAAACTCATATCCAACTACAAATCATGTGAGATACTATAGATTTGCAACAAGGCCGATGTAACAAGACACAGAAAGCAGTATTATTTACATGGTAATATGTAGTGACATTGACAAATAGTATGGAATTGATTTTTCAAAAATACATGTTCCATGAAGTAGTTACTTCCCTTTACGAATGACATAAAAATGTGAACAATGTTTGCAAAGTGCATTTGTAAAACTTACATGATATGGATTAATGTGTAAGATGGAACAGTCATTTGTAATAGAACATACAAATAGAGCGTCTAGTGGTATGCAGAGTTTGAGACAGGGATTCAATTGTAATTGTTCCTGAAGGATACATCTTTGAAAACCCATGGTCTTACCGAGGTCCGAGAGGTGAGACCGGCTGTGGGTTTCTGGCAGAGAACAGATAGTGGAGAGGTGTATATAATTATACATCTCCTTTTCCCCAACTTTGGCTAATTTTATTTTAATTGATAAAATATACTGTATGATAAGACTAAAGTATTAAATATAACAGTAAAACTAGGTTATAGCGAAGTCAATGGGACCTACTAGTATGAAATTACTTCGCTGTTACCGTAATTGGTTATATCCGTATCAGAAATTCATTAAATTCATTAAACATAGCTGGGGACCCTAAAGAACTTCGTTATATCTGTGAATTCGCAATATCTGTGTTCGTACTAAAAGCTTTACTTTAATATGCTCTTCTCAAAACTGTTTTGTCAGGTCTTTTGGTTTATGTGCTAATTAATACATGTATCAATATTAATAAGGAAAACAATTCTCCCTAATTAACTACCACAGTATTTTTTATTTAATCTTAAATTTTAAATTTAAATGACAACAACAACTGGTAAGATCTTATTTCTTTAATATGCCCCAGTTGACAGTATTTGACAACCTCAGTCATATATGTTCTGATATGTACATGTATGCAGGGGTATACTTTAATCGAGATGGATTACTAATAATGATGACTGTATTAATATTTGGATTTTTTTCTTGTGGACTTTAGTGCTGTCAAACTCATAACTTTCTAACATTTTTTAATAGTGCTGTCATAGGCATAAAATGATAAATGTACATCTTCTTAGCGTTTTTTCTTGTGGACTTTTTTCTTGTGTTTGTAAAGAGCACTGGAGTCACAGTACCGATTTCCGCACAACTCACAAATAAACTTCCTCTCTCCAGTGTGAGACGTGAGATGTCTCAGTAAATGTGACTGACAGGTCCACGACTTCCCGCACAAGTCACAATCCCAAGATTTCTTCCCAACACCTGACTTCCCCATGGATAATTTCCCGTTCTTGTGAACATTCTTCAAATGATTGGTCATACTGTAGTGTCGACTGAATTTCTTGTCGCAGATCTTGCAGCTGTAAGGTTGATCACCCGTATGAACTTTCTGATGCTGCGATAACTGTGACGGAGATTTAAAAACTTTATCGCAAAGGTCACAGCTGTGAGGTTTTTCACCTGAATGAATTCTGGAATGTGTGGTGAGTTTGTATCGTCTTGCAAAAGACTTTCCACAAATGTCACATTTGTGAGGTTTTTCCTCGGAATGTGTGATCATATGTCTCTTCATGCTACAGTACTGAATAAAACCTCGCCCACAAACTGGACAAACATGATCCCTTTCCCCTACATGTATCCTCATATGTGTTTCTAATACTTGTTTGAGGGGGAAACTTTTCTGGCAGACACCACAAGTGTATGGCTTGACTTTGGTGTGGACTGTCAGGTGCTTTGTTAATGCGTGGGACTGTCGGAATCCCTGCTCACAGTAATCACATTTATATGGTAGCTCACCTGTATGAATCAGCATGTGACTTGATAAATGGGATTTCTGCTTGAAAGCTTTGTTACATACTTCACATATATAAGGTCTTTCACATTTTTTTTCACTTTGTTCACATATCTTTATTGTAATGGTACATGTAGCTTTATTTGTATTCTCATCACAAGGTTCTTCTTTAGCATCGATTTCATAATCCACCACAATAATTCCCTGATCCACCACATTTATTTCATCATCCTTAAGTTGGATGTCGTTAGGCCTAATTGAATGCCTCTCCTTTCCAGTACCTCCATCACTATACCTGTCAGTCACTTCTTCATGTTCCTTCTGCTCTCTGATTTTGTCTTCTCTATTTGTCTCTGTACTAAAATTCTTTTCCACATCATCATCCATAAGTCTGAAATATATAAAATATGGTTAATTCACCGTTTGGCGGGCTGTGTCCAACCTGTACTGTGTTCATCAAAGCACAGGGGCTTGCTCTGTGATCAAAGTGACCTTTCGTGTTTCACCACAGGGGCTTGTGTAGAGAAAATAAATCAGTTTAAAAAATAAGTACCTCGGAGAGAAAAATACACAAGGGAGGACGCCATTTTGGATACCACCTCGCTTCATCAGCTATTTTCTCGCTTAAATTGTTAAACTAGACATACGAGCCTGTTCATATCCCTTAATGAATGTTTTTTCTTGATGGCCTTACTTGCAGTTTTAATCTTTCTTTGTCTACATTTACAGTCTTGGTCAATTTATCGCGCAAACATCCAAAATCGACAACTCCTTGGCTTCTGCAGAAAACGAAAGTATGACACGTGACTTAGAGAATATTTCGTACTACCCCAGATTCAGTCCAAATTCAACAAATTTTAGAAAAAAGTGAAACCAAAATACTTTAACACAGAAGAGCAAAGAAATAAAATAACAGTCATTGATAAAATGAAAGCATCTGAGTTTACCAATAAAATATTCAAATATGTCAGTTTGGGTACGACTTTACTTTTACCTTCATTGTAATAGTAAAGTCCTGAGACAAACCGAGCGACACTACGTCACGTGTCACACTTTCGTTTTCTCAGAAGCCAAGGAGTTGTCGATTTTGGATGTTTACGCGATAAATTGACCAAGACTGTAAATGTAAACAAAGAAAGATTAAAACTGCAAGTAAGGCCATCAAGAAAAAACATTCATTAAGGGATATGAACTGGCTCGTATGTCTAGTTTAACAGTTTAAGCGAGAAAATAGCTGATGAAGCGAGGTGGTATCCAAAATGGCGTCCTCCCTTGTGTATTTTTCTCTCTGAGGTACTAATTTTTTAAACTGATTTATTTTCTCTACACAAGCCCCTGTGGTTTCACTAGAAATGTGAAAGCTTAATGAGAGACAACTTTGTCAGAGTAAACTTATAATATATATCTCTTCTTAAATGATCCTTTAAAAATATATTTATGCTTAGGCGTGTACATAGCCTATTTACCGGCTAGTCAATACAAAAACTAAATCCAGGCAAATGAAAATCCTTGTAAAATTATTATCGGATGTGGAGGTTGGACGGGAAAAGATAAAGCTAGTGTGATATGGAATGATTTTTTCCGGAATTCTGGACGGTGTAAAAGTAGGCCTAGCCTTCATCGGTAAAAAGCAAATTCCATACAAAAAATACAAAATTGCATTGTTCAATAAATATATGCCCACTGACTAATATTAATTGCATTCCATATACAAAAAAAACAAAAAAAAAAAACAAACAAATTATGCAAAACAAGACATTTATTCTAACTACAGCTGAACTCTACTTGTCAGTGGAATCACCCCGGGATGAGCAGATTTGCAAAAGGAAAATATACGTGTAGGATATTGAAAAACGATATTATATGTAGCGAGAGAGAAAAAATGATAAATATAAAGATAAGAACATATATTAAGGGGCGACCATTTGATTGTAAGAGGGAACTCAAGGATCGGCGTGTTTTTTTTTTATGTCAGAGGAGCCATAAGTGTTTAATTGTCATGCAAGTCTTCCGTCTT